ACAAGAAGCTCAAGTGCTTTTTCGTGAAGTACTATAACATACTACACAGAGGACAAAGAACTCGGATGTTTTCTCGTGAAGTACTATAACGTACTATAAAGAAGGCCTAGAAGCTCGGATGCTTTCTCGCTATAGTACTAACGTACTATACGCAGGGCCCAGAAGCTCGGATGCTTTCTCATGAAGGACTATAACATACTATACAGAGGGCCTGGAAGCTCGGATGCTTTCTCATGAAGTACTATGACGTACTATACAGAGGGCCTAGAAGCTCGCATGCTTTCTCATGAAGTACTATAAAAAGTAAAATCACAAAAATACTGAACTCCGAGGAAAATTCAAAAAGAAAAGTCCCCAATCAAATGGCAAAATCAAAAGCTCAAACACATCAAACGAATGCATAACAACTATCATATTCCTGACTTGGTACAGGCATTTCTTATGTAGAAAATGGTGGAATAAACCTGGTTTTAAAGCTAGCTAAACCTCTCATTTGTATGACAGTCGCATCACATTCCATTATATTGACAACGATGTGTGAACAAAACAAACACAATAGGTAAAAATGTCACAAATAGGGGAACAACAGCAACACGATCCCCATCAAAAACCGGGGGTGATCTCAGGTGCTCCGGAAGGGTAAGCAGATCCTGCCCCACACGTGGCATCCGTCGTGTTGCTCATGTTATTACAAAGTCGGTAAATAGTCTAATTCGGTAGGTCACATTCGTGAAAAGGGAACGGGATTGTAGTTACGACATAAGGAACATACCCGATATCATCTGTGAAACGGATATTCCATAACGGTCAACCAATTCGTGATGGCGTCCGTAAAATTTACGAAGTGATGATTTCAACTTCACCATTTGGAACTACAAATTGAAAGGTCACAATTGGAAAGCTGAAATCATCTCTTGTAAAGTTTTGTTTTCAACCGACCCTCATTGTCAATTTCTAGATGTAAGTCAAGATATGAGGCAGACAATAACATTCTATACAGAGGGCCTAGAAGCTTGGATGCTTTCTCGCTAATTGCTTTAACGTACTATACAGAGGGTCAAGAAGCTCGGATGCTTTCTCGCTAAGTAATTTAACATACTATACAGAGAGCCTACTCTTTCGTCAAGTACTATAAGATACTATAAACAGGCACAGAAACTCGGACGCTTTCTCGTGAAGTACTACGACATACAGAGGAACCAGAAGTTCATGCGCCTAATCGTGAAGTAAAACTTTCATACATGAGGCTAACTATTCGCCTGTGCAATATCCAATAAAGAGCGAAAACCGTGTCTGAAATCTGGTTTATAATAAAGCTGTTTATAAACAGAAGTAGACTTGGAGACTGCAATGTACAGAAATGTATAGGAATCGAGTTAAAGTCTCAGTTAGGAGGGATTAAAACGCATGATGTGAAGAAACATTTGTATAATAATTTTTATACTAGTAATCGACAAAGAAACTTTAAGCAGTTTGAATTATATAATCACTCGTGCATTTAAATTTAATTTAAAACTGTAACTAACATCTTATGAACATTAACTAAACAGGCGCTTGCGATAGTATACATATTAATCAATAAAAGAAGGTTTTGTGAATTTAAAAATGAATTGGCTTTTTTTCTATTTATTCAATGATAAAATATGCTTAAACATTCGATTTCAATAACGAGACTGTCACTCATTCATAGCTATCAGGTTCCGACTACACTATACCTGCGACTCTTTTCACAAAATATCTTACGATTAAAATTGATCGTAAGTTATACTGAAATGTGTGTGACTTACGAGTATTTTTTCTCTTAAGATTTTTTGTGAAAAGAGCCGCAGGGACGTAATACATTGAGTATACTAGTCCAGGGGCCGGTAACAAGAAATTTTATAAAGAGAGATCGTAAGTATTGAATTAAGGGGAAGATAAGATAATCCTAAGATCATTCAAAGAGTGTAAATCAAAGCTCCCTCAGGTTGTTCGTAGATAGGTCTTATTTCCCCCTTAAGTTGCATCGTAATAGTTTTCATTTTACGAGTTCTTAATAATTTTCCGGCGTCTCCGTGTTAGGCTCCTCGCAAAGAAATTAGAATCGCCTCAAATGAATCATACAAACGTTTTAATGAACGATAAAATGCGCACAATAATCAACTACCCATTTAACCTAAGGAATTCTAACGGTTCATTCTAACAAGTAATAGCTTTTCTGAAAAGCTTGCCGTATTTTAGTTGATTATGTCGAGATCGGTGGTTTGTGGGTATAGGTTTTTTATTGGAATCTTGCAAGCACTATGAATATATAGTGTGTTTTTTCTCTCCTGGAATTGTTTTTAGTTGTAGTATTGGTGGATCAGGGTAATGATGGAAGGAGGAATTATAGTCACATATGATATAATATATATTTATATCCAGATAAAATTGCATACTATTGTACTTATATGTATATTAGTCTAAAAATTTGCACAACGGTACTAATATATGACGGTATTACACAAAGACGTTGTTATTAAATCGTGTTGACAAATATTTTGGCTTAACAAATAGCCTTCGTCAGTGTCAATAATTTTAACAATACTGATTGTATGTGTAAAATAGCTCAGTAATATAGGTAAGTTTTGGTCTATTGATTTAATCCAAAATCTTGAATATCATAATATAAAACAAAACGCAATACTCAGATATACGTATCTGAGTATATTTACATCCCAAAATGAGTGAAAAATAAAACTGTTAGTATTTCTTATTGATGCCGTTTGGATGATGTACATTAAGTTCCTTTATCCAAAAGCTTTTCCGAACCAGTCGCTGGGCATTACTCCAGTGAATGTTCTGTTCAATCACTAGGATTTTCATGCGGTTAAAGTCATCATGTTTGTGACCCGACTGTCTGAAATGCTGAGAAACTGGGAGAAGTGGCTTCTTAGAGATATCACTCCTATGGCCATTGAGGCGTTTGTGGAAAGGCTGCTTTGACTCACCAACATATTGGAGGTCACAAACATTCTAGAATGTAAATAACATTCATACTTTTGCAGGTAACATTGCAAAATATCCTATAGTTATTTTCGGTTGCCTTACTGTGAAAAGTTGATGAGTGATGCATCTGTAGGCAACATTTGCAGCACTTCTCCCAGTTTCTCAGCATTTCAGACAGTATATATATATATAATAGCTAGAGTAGCAATACAAACACTTTTTTCTTTGTTTTGAGGAATATGATTGTTTACTGTTTATGACAATGCAAGTAGTTTTAAAATGCATACTGTGTCTGGACAGTTATGTAATAGTTTGTGAGGTTAATATAATCAACTTGATAGGAAAAACGTATTATTTACTTTTGAGGATTACTGCTTGACAAAATGGACTACTACAGAAGGCCGTTCAAATATAAGAATATTACATCTTATATGTATAGAAGTGATGAATATCTTATCTGGTTTTTGTCTTAGAAGAAGCAATTAGTTTTGACGGTACAGGTTAAGTGTTGTTGTTACTAATTTACAGATGTAGTAATACTGTAAGAAGATGTTTTGTGGTAATGGATTTGGAATGAAATATTAATTGCAAATAATTTTCTAGAACATGTTGTCAGCTGGCTTCTTATATCTTTTGATATATTACGTTGTGATTTGTAATCTTGACAATTTTTTTGTAAGTTCTATAGATGAGAGCTTCATATTGGTATTAGCATTTAGTGCTTTATATTTGGTTGCATGTGTAAGCATATGCTTTTGTTAGTTGGAATATTTATATTTCCATTTCTGATGGCAACCAGTTCATGTTATACATATAGGCAGGATTATTAGTAAGCGATAGTTGTTAGTTTTATTTGTTTATGTTTATTGTCATGATTGATATGGACTTTATAGCTTGCTGCTTGGTGGGAGCCAAGGCTTCGTGTTGAAGACCGTACTTCGACATATAATGGTTTACTTTTACAAATTGTGACTTGGATGGAGAGTTGTCTTTGGTACTGATATGACATCCTGTTATATCTGTCTACAAGATTGAGAACACATATTTTGTAATAAAACATATTTAATTCTATAATATCATATATACCAATTTATCGGTAATTTGTGCATTTTTCCTTTGATGTGTCAACTGTTTTCTGATAATGTCAGTATCAGTTGACTGGTCGTGATAAAAAATTATTGGGTCAGTAAGCAATTGACATGCGCGGGTGCACCGCGTGAGGATCTTCTTTCCCCTTTCATTCACAAAATCGCGCGTGATTTTTTTCGCAGAAAGTTTCAGTAAAGTTAGTTTAGCCTTTTTGACATACATACAGAAGCAACGCCATTTTATTATATTATTAACAAGTGAATGTGCAGCTAAGAGTAGTCGGGACCACTCTTACAAAAAATATCAAGAGAAGCTATTGCGAGTTGTTCTTGGTACACCCCTAAGTCGCCAAGTTTGTTTTAAGAACACTTAATAACTGACCAAAATTTAAGAATGATTTAGTGTTACCGGAATTAGTAAGATCGCTTTAAGGTAGACTTAAGAATCGTTCTTAAATCATGCACTTTTTCAAAACATTAAGGGCTGTCAATCATTCTAAGATAGGTCTGAGGTTGGGTCTTGTTACACTCTTAAATCTTAAGACGCTCTTTAAACGTTCGTAAGACATAAGAATGCTTCTTGTTACCGGCCCCTAGGACTATACTGAATACAGGATCGTTATTAAAGAAAAAATAACTTCTATAAGGAGTCGGCTGATGATTTCAATCATATAACTTATTGTAAATCTAATTGATAAATTTTGCTCATTTCAGGTTCTCGGTCTCTTTCAAAATTAGGCAAAAACGCAAACAATCAGAAAAATAACCCCGGCAATAACTCCAATAACTCCAATGTCTGCTTATTTGTACATCTTGTCCTTCTGATCCTTTTTTCCGGTTTTAAGTATCTATTTATCTTTTATAGTATTTATGATACATGTATTAGATACTTGACCTGGTAAATAAAATGTATACAATTGTATCAGGCAAAGACATTATTCAACAAAGGGGTAATCTGTAATTTATTCAAATAAATTTAAATTACTATTAGAAAATCAATCAAAACTATAATAATAACAAGAGTAAGGTTCTTAAAAACGAAGTATAATACTTCTTTCAGCATATTTATTTCCGTGTGTACAAACAAGGACGTATAACTAACATATAATATACATCATTAATTTGGTACAAAGAATAAAGAAGTTACGTTTGCTTATTCGCTGGGTGTACCATGACACCAATCCAATTACAATCTCTGGTTTCGTTATCCTCATATGAGCTTATATATACAAGCAAGAAAAAAACAGATTAGTAAGTATTTACAATAGCCAATACAGAAGTAATGATTCACCTAGCTAACAAACAAACTTAAGTTTCAAGAATAAAGTACAAACTCAAATAGATAAGCTATAATAAAACAAGTTTATACGTGAATTTAGGTACAAAAAAATTAGGAATATACATTCAATTTCCAATCATCTTCTCCAATTGTAAAACTACGTATCCAGAAAAGGAAATTACACAGCTCCATTTTAGTCCATGCAGGGGCGTCCACTTTGACATTTATGACAAAGATCACTGCGGTGGGGCTTGTTTGGATCGGTATGGCGTTGTGCTTTTTCCTACCGGGAACAAGTGCAGTCGCTCTGACCACAAATCGAGCATTTCAGCTTTTCAACTTTGTAAGGGCTACAGGCTGTATTACACTTTTTGCAATCTTGTTCGTAGTATTCCTAGAAATAGGTGAATGTTCGTTAAGACATGTGACTTAGATTTGCTGTTCAAAAAATAATGATAAGCAGTATACACACATATATGTATTATCTGCAATCATTTGAACCACCAGAAGTAGAAACACTAAAAAAAAATGAGAAATAGTTATTTGATCAGAGTATTCCAAGCATGTCCCGACTGATGCAGTCATCTAAAAAAAATTACTAAATAATAATGAGAAAAACTAAAATGAAGTACATGTATATGACTTATATGCACCATTTGAGTCCCAATATGAACACGGAAATTATGTAGCATTCATGAAAGGCTAAGCCTATGTTAAAAGTCAATAACAAATGTTTCACTAACTTAAATATCAATCCGTAAACATCAAATGGATTTACTTTAAAGAAATCATAAACATTCTGAGAAAAACATGACCATCGTCATAGTTAACACAACTTGTTTCATCTGTTGTAGTTGATTTGACCTTCCTTGTGTCTTGCTTCGAGCGCCACTGATGATTGCTATGTAGACGAAAACCAAACGAGCAGTCTGGTGTACTAAATTATTATTCTGGTATCTTAAGTAACTTCTGTGGTCAAGCTTTATATAAAAGGTAAACGGATGTCCACAGAAGTGAATTGTAAAAATTCGTAAATGAAAATGATTTTTGATTAAAACTCGACAAAAAGATTCTATTTGTAGTTTTTAGAAAATGTCCGGTAGATCTACATTTTATCAATCTGAATTTTCCTTACACTGTAAGTCCCCTGAACACAAAACACATAGGCACTTTCCCACTGTGCTCTACAATTCGTACATCTGAAAAATCCATATCTACGTCCTGTCCCAGGCATTCTGCTTATTCTTCCATCTAGTTAGAGAGCTTTGTACGGACATATATGATAGATATTAATAGATTATACGCAAATAAAAATCTATATTATTACATGATTCAAAGTTTAGAGATTTTTTGTAAATCTATTTTCTGTTTCAATTCAAAAATCACATAGTGAAACGCTTCGACCGATAAGTATTGTTTTATCAGGAGAACTTTAAGCAACGTAATTACAATTTAAAATAATATTTGTATACCCTTTTTTATTATTACTTTGTTTTGACACAAAGCCACAAAACTGGTTTAATTCGATTTTTTGTTATAAATTAGGCCGTTTGTGTTTCGATTGAATTGTTTCATATTTTTCAAGATGTGGCTTTTTATGGCCGACTATACGGTATGGGTTTTTCTCATTGTTGAAGGCTGTACGGTTGCCTGTAATTACTTACATACACTTAATTTGATCTTTGGTGGATTGTTGTCTCATTGGCATCATACCACATGTCCTTCCTTTTACAGTTAAAATACCACTCATGAACTTTAAGTAACAACAAAAAGTCCATTATTTGACAACAATAGCTTGTTTCCGTGGCTCAACGCACTTGTTTAAAAGAAAAGCATAGCTCTTTGAACACTTCAAGGAGTACAGTGTTTTCTGAAGACATGCTCTTGCGTTTTAGATTTGAACAAAAATCCCAAGTTTATTTGAAATTAGAGGTTTCTAAGAGTCCGAATCGCTCTTCTGTCAAACGCATGCCATTTTGATTTTAAGTCTAATCTTTGTTTCAATCAGTTATGTTTGCGTGTTTGAAGATCTTATCTAGCTGATATTTTTTTTCTGTTTTCCCTCTATATACTATAGTTTCACAAATGCAAAATAGGTCAACATTGTCATTTAAAAGCAATAACTTCGACAAGGAGTCGATAAATGATTGGCGAATTTGTTGTTTATGTATTTGTAGATCTTATAATGTTTTTAACTGCGGCTGTTAGCAGTTTTTCGCTGTCTATGATAGTTTTTAAGACAAATGTCAAAAAATGCAGAATTCCGAGAAAAATCTCTATATATTGAAGGCTTTTAATCCTTAAAGAAGTCAAAAGACAATTTCATTGATTTGATTTATTTGTAAACAATATCCTACCGACTATGTTTACCATCTACTGTTTTCTTTCTATCCTTTATAATTTTGAAAATAATTGCCTTAACGAAAAAAGTGCAGTTTCGTTTATGTTGAATTTTATTATTATTATTTCTGGAAATTTATCTTGTTGATTATTATTGCCGTTTACACTGAGTTTCTGACCACCTTCAATAAATACTGTCTAGATAATTTAAAACACATATCTTATCTGTTGAAAATGTTAAAAAAAAAAAACACGCAAAAACGCAAAATATTGGTAAACATCGTCACTCAAGGTCAAGAACTCCTACAAGGATCCAATACACCAATTGTAACTCCTTACAAACAATGTTATATTGCTGGGTCTTCCAACTGTTTTACGAAACCTCTTTCTTAATTATCAAAATTAACTATATCAGGACAAAGCCGGGATTCAAAGTTTTTGTGAAACTACCCATTGTAGAGGTGGCGTGAATCAGATGTGGATACTAAAACAATCCAAAGATCTTTAAGACACATTCATCTTGCAATAGTATTAAAACATTTGACTTTTCTACACTTTACACTTTACACAAGTATTCCCCATTCTAAACTAAAAGAAAAATTGAAAGAGTTGGTTCTGCTTTGTTTCATAAAAAAAGAATGGCCAACATAGATACAAATATCTTGTCTTAGGGAGGGATAAATCGTACTTTGTAAAACAATCACTCTAATTCAAACAAAAAATTCTCTTAAACTGACATTATCAAGATGCTTAATTTCTTGATTGACAACATATTTGTTACGTTTGGAGGACGCGTTTTTCAACAAACAATCCGCATTCCCATTGGAACCAACTCTTCTAGTCGACTTGTTTCATTATTCATATGAGGCTGACTTCATATAGGATTTTCTTAGGAAGAAAGGAAAGAAGTTATAGCAGTATCTTTTAACTTTATTTTTTGCTAATTTAGATGATGTTCTGTCACCAAATAATCAAAATTTGGTGACTATGTTGAACGCATCTACCCGACGAACTTCAAAGTATACAACAAATACAGTTAAGTCTGCCTCATATCTTGACTTACATCTAGAAATTGACAATGAGGGTGGTTGAAAACAAAACTTTACGACAAAGAGATGTTTTCAGCTTCCCAATTGTGAACTTTCCATTTCTATATAGCAACGCATGATTCCAGCAGCGCCTGCATACGGAATATATATATCTCCGAGTTGATACCGTACTATATATATTCCAGGGCTTGTATTTCCTATCATGATTTGCATTAAAGAGGGTTGCTACTCACAAGGAAGCTATTAAACCAAGCGTTTCAAGTGGTGAAGTTAAAATCACCTCTTCGTAAATTTTACGGACGCCGGGCGCCATCACGAGTTGGTTGACTGTTATGGAACATCTATGACAACGGATATGTTCCAATTGTCGTACTACAATTCCATCCCCTAATCCCCCGAATGTGACCCACCGAATTAGATTTATCACCGGGTTTGTACTAACACGAGCAACACGGCGTATGTCACATGTGGAGCATGATCTTCTTACCCTTCCGGAGCACCTGAAGAGATTACCCCGTTTTTGGTGGGATTCGTGTTGCTCATTCTTTAGTTTTCCGATCATGTTGTGTTTTGTCTGTCTGTTTGTCTTTTTCTTTGTTAATCATGGCGTTGTCAGTTTATTTTCGACTTATCAGTTTGAATATTTCTTTGGTCATAATCTTAAGAAAGCTTCTTACTGTAAAAATCCTTGATGGGACCATGTAAGCTTAATTTTGGTTATGCTCTTACAGTTCCGGAAAATCAAGAGTCACGGTACTTATTTAAAATTATTGCATTTTGTCTTTGTCTCTTTAGCGCTTGAGATGATATCAAATTTTAAAGTAGAATTAAGAAGAAAAATTACATTGAACGAAATTTTGTATACATATTTTTGTTTCGAAACCACCTGCAATAACTCGCTTGAGTTGACACTATTCATTCTTAATTATTTTAAGTCATAAAATAAGGTAGAAAATATGAATAATGCAGGTAAATAACTTTACTTTTAACCGTTTATATAAAATATAAATGTCAGTTAAAAAATCACGATATTTGGCCAAAGTTCATGAAAAGTAGCTTAATTAAAAGTCGGTTTTTCATATATACAAATTAATATAGAACTAGAGCTCTTAAGAGATATTTAAGCAGCTGATATAAAAAAATATAATACAACAAAATGAAAATATTGAATAGCAACAGATTCATTTACAGCACATACAATCAATACAAGCAGCACATATCAGTGAAGCAGTGTCTTTGAGACTCTGCATACAAGGATGATTAACAAAATTGGCCTTCATAGGCTACGCATACCTGCATCCTGTTCAAAAATAAAATGTCATCCGATTGTTTATGAAAAGTGAAATATACACTGGAATCATCGGTACTTTGCAGATGTGGTGAATTCAGTGAATAGAATGGCAAATAGTGTTTTTTGATTATTATTTTTTAGTTAAATATACATAATAAAAATTGCAAATTAGATGCACACTAGAGGTAAAATAACAAAAATGCCAAACTCATGATAAAACAGCAGTCCCTGTAAAAGATAAAATTATCAAAACTAAATGTAAATGCAAAGAAAAAATTATACTGAATTACAAAAAAAATGCTATGTAAGGGCACGACCATTTGATATTCATGGGGGGGGGGGGGGGGGGGCAGGAGGATTTGTTTTGGATCGGTTATTTATTTTTTTGTGGACTCAAAGGACAGATTATTTATTTTCTGCACTGTTAAAGCACGATTTTTCATTTTCATTAAAACAAGGGACTGATTATATATATATATATATATATATATATAATTTATTTTCACAATTATATTTATAATATTTGAAAACATACAATTTTTTAATTCATTTTTTTAATTTTTTTAATAAATAATACAGTCAAGTCATTATGTACCATTTAATCAGAATTAATCATCACCCTCTGGAAGTTAATCTTCTGAATTCCAAACTGCATATATTGCATATATACAAGATATTAAAGTTGGGCTGTAACTAACCTCTTTTAAAAGTAATGCCAAACAAAATTTCGGCAAAGGGTTTGGGGGACGCTGAAGGCCCAAAGAAGCTATAGAAAAAATGATGCAAAATCATGCATTCTGCGCATTTCCCAGACCCTTTCTTAATCTGAAACGCAAGTTCTGTTTTAATTATTTTTTCGACAATATTTTTGGTGTTAAAGCAAAATATATAGAATCAGTGTGAGACTTCTAGTTTTTTGGGACAACATCTTTCAAATTAAGTTAAGAGGGGGCTGATTATCATTGATATAACTGTGTCAAGTAATTTTTATGACACATTTCAATAATAATAATAATAATAAATTCTTTATTTAAAGAGGGTAAACACAGTTAGTTACAATTACTAATCTTCCCTGAGGCCCTCATATACAATACAAGTAAAAAATAATAATAAGAGAAAAAAAACAAAAAAAACAAACATACAACATATTAACACAATCGTATAGTCATGATATTTCAATGTACATGTACCATTAGAACATATAAAACAATTACAGATTGCATGTAGTAAATAGATATTATATACAAATCAAAATCATACATTCTAAAAAAGTAATAGTTGCAATCATTTCAAGACTGAATATTGGGACTGCCTCAAGTATCGTTTAAAATTTGTTTAAAAGAAAAAGTGTTTTGCACTTTACGCATTTCATAAGGTAGTCCGTTCCATAAAACTGATCCAGAATAAGCAAAAAATTTTTTAAACAGTTCAGTTTTTGGCTTAGGAATTTTCAAATTACCTTGAGTAACACCCCTTAAAGCAATTACAACTTGATGTTCCAAACTGGGATACAATTTAAAGTAGTTTGTAAAATTAGATAAAAAGTCCTTAAATAAAATAAAACTCAAGTTTAAAACAAAATAACTAAATTACAAAATGCATGGAATGCAACACTAAGAGAATAAAGAAGGGCAATCGATGAACAAAAGACAAAAACGACAAACAATAGAGAAATAACACTGAAAACTAAAAATAAATGAGAAACATGAATCCCGAAAAACGGGGGCTACGTCAGTGGGTGAACAGAACTTGCTTCTTGCAAGACACTCGCCGTGAAAACATTTGATATGAAAACAAGCTTTTGTTTTTTGAAATTTCCTACATGAGGCATTTGCCTCAATGTAGTTATGGCCCTGTAATAAAAGTGAGGTAAATGTTCCCGAGACAATATACCTCAAGTTAAATGAAACCCATTTTCAGACATTTCAAGTACATTAGTATTTATCATTGTATTATTAAAAGATTTGGGAAGTTTTTCACGAAAAAAATATACAAAAAGATGAATTTTTGACGAATCTGGTGCCATCTCATACTTTAGAATAGCATTTATAAAATGGCTTAAAAAGACCTGCCGAGCTATTTATTTTCAATACATTGTAAGTCAGGTTTTTTATTTTCAAACTACCACAGAACAAATTAGATATTAATTAACGTAATCTATGTATTACTGGTAAATTATTAAGTTACCACAAATTACTTAAAACCTTTACTATAATGTAAATTCTTCCATAGATATATATAAAGATTTGGTTTTGAAGTTTGGTTGTACCTGTAGAAAAATTATTTCAAAAGGGATAGCACAACCCCTTTTTTACGGAGATGTTGTTTACCGTGCCCTGAAATTTAGAAATGATCCTGGTAAACTTATCAATGCTTTAAATAAACTTATTATAAAAGGTTACCAATTCAACACTGTAATTAGATCTTTGAATATTGTTTTTATTGGTATTGATATTGGTTTTGTTAACAGTAAATTAAAAGCAAACTAAATATTATGGTTATATACATATGCACTTTCATGGACCTACAAACTGTCGATACCTGTATCTTGACATTGCACAAGGTCATGTTTTTCTCTGACTGTTTATGACGTCTCTACACTAAATCCATTGGATGTTGGATGTGTACTGATTGATAATTTAGTCTTAGATGCATGATTTTTTTTATTAGTTATTATAGGCTTTGAACTAGCTGTCAGTAACTGGGAGTACTCTCAGATCTGTACTTAGTGTCTTTTTGTTGTTGGGATGTACAAGTACCCCGCCACGTCTACTCTGTGTTTTTGTTAGATGTATTTCTATTTGTATCCATCTGATGAGTTAAGCTTTTTTCAACTGATTTTTATACGCCCGTTTACGGGACGTATTATGGTATACCGTTGTCCGTCTGTCCGTCCGTCTGTCCGTCTGTCCGTCCGTCTGTCCGTCCGTCTGTCCGTCGTCAACATGTCGGACATTAACTCAAAATTGCTTAAACCAATTTGCATAAAACTTTGGTGAATTGTTTATATCTATTGACGTGAGCTCCCTTTCGTTTTTTATAAAATTTAGATTTTACGTTTCCGAGTTATGGGGTTTTATTCATTAAAAAAAGGGGGATTTTCCAGTTTTCGGACAATAAGTCAAGAATGCTTTCACCAACTTGCAAGAAATTGTGGTGAATTGTTTATATCTATTGACATGAGCTCCCTTTTGATTTTTATAAATTTTAGATTTTACGTTTCCGAGTTACGGGGTTTTATTCATAAAAAAAGGGGGGACTTTCCAGTTATCAGACAAAAACTCACAAATGCTTTCAGCAATTCTTATGAAACTTTGGTGAATTGTTTGTATGTATTGATGTAAGCTCCCTTTAGAATTTTATAAATTTTACATTTTACATTTCTGAGTTATGGGGTTTTATTCATTAAAAAGGGGTGATTTTCCAGTTTTCTGACAATAACTCAAAAATGCTGTCACCAATTCTCATGAAACTTTGGTGAATTGTTTATATCTATTGATGTAAGCTCCCTTTTTATTTTCATAAATTTCTAATATGACATTGAGAATTAATTATACTTTATTTGTTTATAGTCTGACAACAGATTTACTAAGTATTGCACAACAGCAAGAAATCTTTAATTGAACATAAATTCAATTCATATTTATAACCAATTACAAGTTCTTTGAATACATTTATTCAGACACCTATAATATGTCAAATATTTAATTACAATCCAAATTCAGACCTGAATCAAGCTTGAATATTGTGTCCATTTTTGCCCCAACTGTTCAGGGTTGGACCTCTGCGGGCGTATCTAGCTGCGCTCAGCGAAGCAGTTTATTATAGTTCGTTCTTATGTTGTACCATTACACCTCTGTCCCAGGTTAGGGGGATGGTTGGGATCCGGCTGACATGTTAAACCCCGCCACATTCTGTATGTATTTGCCTGTCCCAAGTCAGGAGCCTGTAATTCAGTGGTTATTGATTGTTGCTGTGTTACATATTTGTTTTTCGTTAATTTTTTTGGACATTAATTAGGCCGTTAGTTTTCTCATTTGTCAATTCAGGGCCTTTTTTAGCTGACTATGCGGTATTTGCTTTGCTCATTGTTGAAGAATGTATGGTGACCTATAGTTGTTAATTTGTGTGTCATTTGGTCTCTTGTGAGAATTGTCTCATTGGCAATCATACCACATCTTCTTTTTAAAGTCGTGTATTGGTATGACGTTGGCGTCGTCGTCGTCGTCCGGCATTGGCGTTGTCCGAAGACACATTGGTTTTTGGGAAATGACGCTATCAGCGGCATGTTTCCGATACCATTGACCAGAACTAACGGAAGTTGATTATGCCTCCGCCTACCGCACTCGGTTTCATATTTACTATTTTACATACTATTACTAACTGGAATCTGCTTGTTTTACGCTACACTCGAACAAAGTGTTGTAGTCGGACGGGAACTAGTTTACATACGTTATTTTATTTACCAAAAAGATATCTTGACCTGTCCATATGTTTTTTGTTATTAAATGGTATTTGGAGCTATCCCTTTGTTATATTTTTCATATTTATTCGAGCTTTCACTTTTATGCACATGTCTTACAATCGTAAACAATCGGTATGTATACATGATAAATAGATCCGTTTTATTATGGTGTTGGACTTTTTACCTTCCAATGATCAGCAATCGCTAGACAAA